ATCAGGAATATATTCTTCTAGAACACAGCCTCACAGCCCAAAAAACCCCCACAAGAATCTATGGATGATGGCCGTGAAAGCCTTCGACTTCACGAAATCCTGCGAAATTCAAGGGGTCACCATGATTTGATAGGCAACTTGAAGGTGCATGCACACACACACCTCGGCTGAGCAATTGTGAGCCTAGCATCTTCCTTGTGGCTTCCCAGAATAATGAAATCTTATGGCACTTTCAAAGGTTGATCGATTGATGGAAATCCACCATGAAGGAGATGGAGCATATTTGTATGGTTGTGCGCATTAATGATTGTCATAGAGTTGGAAGAGACCCCAAGGGCCATCCAGTCCAACCCTATTCTGCCATGCAGGAACTCCCAATCAAAGCATCCCCAACAGAAGGCCATCCAACTTCCAAAGAAGGAGACATAATGCACAATGCAGCCTCATTAGGGAGTTGTCATGTTTTGCAGACACAACCAAACCACTATGCACCACGTACAATTTTGTACTCACAACTCTGCAGTTCTGCAAATGCATATCTCCACTTCTGCAACCTGGGAATAAATGCAGACGATTCTATGATTCTATGTCCAACTGCTTCTATAGGGCAATTGCATATGGGAAGGAGTCCAATGGTCTTACAAATGGACTGCAGCCCTTTCCCGTGCTTTGGTTCAACCAGTTCTTGTCCTGCAACTGTCCCATGCTTCTGTCAATTTACGCGACAGATCCTGGCAAGGAGAGAGGCAGAACTATGAATTCAGGGTGAAGTGGTTGGCAAGGGGCAGGAGGACCCTTCCAAACCCTTTATAATATTATTGGCCATGGCACCTTTTTGGCCATCTGCAAGATGGAATGAGAATTGCATGGAAAAAGAGAGATGACGAAATCCACAAAAGAGCGATCCCTTTATTGTCCAGCCAAAACGGCGACTCGAAGACACGCAACAGCAACCAAAGCTAAATACTTGAAATAAAGTGGTTTCACAACAACCCTTGTGTGTTCAGTTGGGATGAAATTTAATAACCAGTTCAAGCTCATCCTTGGTCTGTGGGGGATTTGAACTCAAATCCGCTGCTCTCCCCACTACGCTTAGTGCACAAATATTTCCATACACCCTTCTACCCATGTCCCAGGCTCTCCTCTGTGTGTCTCCTAGTACGACACAACTGCATTGTTGCATTAGTCAAATGTTTCCCAAACTTTGATCCTCCAGATATTTTCGACTTTGGCTCCCAGAATTCCTGATTGTTGGCCCAAAGGGCTACTAGGGCTTTGGGAGTTGAAGTCCAAAAAGACCTGCAGGACCAAAGTTTGGGAAACACTGCAGTAGGCAAAGGCAATGAAGGGTTCTCACAGGGTGGCAATGTTCCCAACTTTTGCAATTTTCTGAGCAGATGCCGTGACAAAAATCCACCCTGGACACCACCAGCCTCTTCGAATTTTTGGAAGCTAAGCAGAACTGGGCCTGGTTAGTGCTTGGATGAGAGGCCACCATCAAGAAGGACCAGAGGTCACCAGGTTGGGCTAGGAAATAATCCTACCTGAAAGAAACCCTGGAGAGAGTTGTTGCTGCCAGGCAAAGCTGTCTATACTGGGTTGGGTGGACTCCCAAGGATCAGGATCAAGGTCAGGGTTAGGGTCAGGGTCAGGGTCAGGGTCAGGGTCAGGGTCAGGGTCAGGGTCAGGGTCAGGGTCAGGGTCAGGGTCAGGGCAGTTTCCTGTATTCCTGTTACAATGGGACCTGGAGGAGATGTTTTGTAAGATATTAGTAAAGATCACCAAATTGAGAGGTGATCTGTTACAGTTTGGTGAGACAGGATGGTGTAGTGGTTTGAGCATTGGACTAGGACTCTGGAGACCAGGGTTCGATTCCCTGCTTGGCCGTGAAACCCACTGGGTGACCTTGGCCAAGTCACACTCTCTCAGCCTCAAAGGAAGGCAATGGCAAACCCTCTCTGAAGAAACTTGCCAAGAAAACCTTGTGATAGGGTCACCTTAGGGTTGTCATAAATTGGGAATGACTTGAAGGCACACAACAATGCAGCTATCTTTATATATAGTTATTATTATTATTATTACAGTTTATATAGTGCTGTAGATTTACACAGCGCTGTACATACGGTCAATAAAATAGATAAAAATAGATTAAAAAGCCTGCTGATGGCGTACATTCTACAAAATATTTTAAAAAATGCATATTAATACAAAGAAGGCAACAAATTAAAAACATCAATTTATGTTCATGTATCCACAGGCTCAGTCATCCATGGCTTGAAAATATTCAAAAATAAATAAATCCCAAAAAACCAACCTTGATTTTGCCATTTTATATAAGGGACACCATTGTATTTAATGGGACTTGAGCATCCACAGATTTTGGTATCCATGGGGGGTTTGGGTTCTGGAATCGAATCCCAGGTGATACCAAGGGCCCACTCTGTTTGAAGGGCTGTCATGTAGAATTTATTATTATTATTATTATTATTATTATTATTATTATTATTATTATTTCCTTACATCCCACCTTTCTCCCAATATAGGGACTCAAGGCGGCAAGAGAGGGATCCAGCTTGTTTTCTGCTGTTCAAGAGGGCAAGACCCAAAGGAATGGATTCGAATCACAAAAAAGGAGATTCCACCGAACGTCTTGATGGCAAGAGCTGTTTGACAGAGGAATGGACTAGCTTGGAAGGTAAAAACCCATTCACTGGGATTTTAAAATACACATTAGATGGGGTGCTTTGACAGTGGATTCCTGCACTGACAAGGGGTTGGACTATATGTCCTTTGGGGGACCCCTTCCTAGTCTATGGACGTTATCACACGTGGGCCGGAAAGCGATAATAAAGTGGAAAT